CTAGGTCGCTGTGAGTTTTCCGGGTTGTACGACTATGTTCCAGAAGCATTCTCTCCTGATGTTTCACCCACATCTATGGCAGGCATCCTTAGAGGTTGTGTGGTGACCTCACAACCTCAGAGGATGCCGGCCTTAGATGTGGTTGAAACGTCAGGAGAGAATGCTTCTGGAACATAGTCGTACAACCCGGAAAACTCACAGCGACCTAGTAATTCTGACCATGAAAGCCTTCGACAACATATTAAAATCAATACTCAGTAAACAGCACTGCCATTTCAAAAACTAGTCCGACAAGTTCTAATGTGTCAGAATGCTGTGCACCTGATCCACATGACATGCAGGTGATACTGAGGTTCTATTAATAGATTCACTGCTTTCAACAGATAAATAATGACTATGTGATGTGTTCTGATTCATGATTGTTTTTATTCCAGCACTAGCTTGGGGACCCGGGTTATTTGAGAAGGCACTGTTTGTTTTGTGAAGTTTGGTAATATCAGTTTGGTAATGTGTAATGCTATTTATTAGGAAAACAAACAGTCTTTCTTCTTGGTTTTTTTTAATTAATGCTCGCATTAGAAAATGCATAAAGATGTGGGTGAACTACAATTTCCAGAATTGTGGGTCAGTCATTCCCAAACCCTGCCATTACTTACATGATCCATGTTGGATCTGTGTGCCAAGTTTGGTCCAGATCCGACAGCAGCTGAGTTCAGTGATATCTAGTAGGCTTGGGCGATCCAGTTCGTTAATTTCGTTATTCGTTATTAATTCGTATTTAAATTAGCTTACGATCCAATATTGAGCCATGCAGGAATAGTGTGAGGAGTAATTAAAAACCGAAACATTTTTTTCCAATTTTCGTAAATATTTTGTAATTATTTCGCAATTATTTTGTAATTATTTTCGTATGTCTGGTGCAAGTTTTACGATCTCACATTTACCCCACTTCCGGTCCCTTTGCTCTGCTGCTTCCCTCCTCTTTCCTCATGCTTCTTCTTGCCTCACTTTGGGCTGCACTGGGCTACCTTCCTTCCTTCCTTCCTTCCTTCCTTCCTTCCTTCCAGCTGGCAAATCCCACATTCCCCCCTCCCTCCTCTTTCTCCTGGCATCCTTCTTGCCCAAAATTTCTCATTACTTTATTTTTCATACCCTCACTCTATGCCACAGGAATGCGTTGCCAGGTACAGCTAGTATATAATATAATATAATATAATATAATATAATATAATATAATATAATATATATTAAGATCGTCCGGGGAGGCCCTGCTCTCGGTCCCGCCAGCATCACAAGCGCGGTTGGCGGGGACGAGAGACAGGGCCTTCTCGGTGGTGGCCCCTCGGCTATGGAATGCCCTACCAGCGGACATCAGGCAGGCCCCTTCGTTGCTGGCGTTTCGGAGGAGGGTTAAGACGTGGCTCTATGAACAGGCGTTCAGATAATTATGCAATTACAACTAACTCAGGAAGACGGCATACTGAACAAGGAACGGTAAAACGACTGTGAGAACGGGATCTGATTCTATTTGAGGCGTTGATGACTATATGTGTGTTGTCTGTGTATGTCTGTTTTATATATTGTCAGTGTTGCACATTTTACTGTAAACCGCATTGAGTCGCCGTCCTAGGCTGATAAATGCGGTATACAAATGAAGTAAATAAATAAATAAATAAATAAGGATAGAAATACATAATAATAATAAGGATAATAAAGGGTATACATGCATATAATTAATTATTATTATAATCAGGATAGAAATACATATAAAAATAAAAATAAGCAGTGTATAAATGCATATAATAATAATTATTATTATAACCAGGATAAAATTACATAATAATAATAGTGATGATAATAATAATAATAATAAGCAGGGTATAAATGCATATAATAATAATAAGGATAGAAAAACATAATAATGATAATGATAATAATAAGGATAATAAAGGGTATAAATGCATATAATTAATTAATTATTATACTCAGGTTAGAAATACATGTAATAATAATAATAATAATAAGCAGTGTATAAATGCATATAATAATAATAATTATTATAATTAGGATAGAAATACATGATGATAATGATAATAATAATAATAATAATAAGGGTATAAATGCATATTATTATTATTATTATTATTAGGATAGAAATACATATAATAATAATAAGCAGGGTATAGATGCATATAAAATTGTTATTATTATAACAAGGATAGAAATACATAAATATAATAATAACAATAATAAGCAGGGTATAAATGCATATAATAATAATAATAAGGATGGAAATACATAATAATAATAATAATAATAATAATAATAATAATAATAAGAAGAAGAAGAAGAAGAAGAAGAAGAAGCAGGATATAAATGCATATAATAATAATGATAGAAATACATAATAATAATAATAAGCAGGATATAAATGCATATAGTAATAGTTATTATTATTATAACAAGGATAGAAATACATAATAATAATAAGCAGGATATAAATGCATATAATAATAATGATAGAAATACATAATAATAATAATAATAATCAGGGTATAAATGCATATAGTAATAGTTATTATTATTATAACAAGGATAGAAATTCATAATAATAATAATAAGCAGGGTTTAAATGCATATAATAATAAGGATAGAAATGCATAATAATAATAATAATAATAATAATAATAATAATAATCAGGGTGATATTATACATTTTTATTATCCAACTAGCTGTACCCGCCATGCATTGCTGTGGCCAACCTTCCCCCCTCTTTCTCTCCTTCTTTTCCTCCTTTCTTCCTCCCTTCCCTCCCTCCCTCTTTCTTCCCTTCCTTCCTTCCTTCCGTCCAATTTCCATCTGAACATGAGGAAGAACTTCCTGACTGTGAGAGCCGTTCAGCAGTGGAACTCTCTGCCCCGGAGTGTGGTGGAGGCTCCTTCTTTGGAAGCTTTGAAACAGAGGCTGGGTGGCCATCTGTCAGGGGTGATTTGAATGCAATACACACAAATATGCATAGACAATCACACGTGTATACACAATATGCATGTACACATATAAACACACAAATACACAAATATACACACACACATATATATACATATATATACCCATATATATACATACATACACACACATATATACACACACATATACACAGACTGGGCCACAGCAACGCATGGCAGGGGACAGCTAGTTGTTTCTAAATTTTTGGATCTGTGCGTCTTGGCTTCCAAATATAATGTGCTTTTGATGTTTGTGAAAAGTTTGTTTGCCTTGGCTAGCCATAAACGGATGATGAAGTTGCTCCGAGACTTGTCTTGCAAAGGGTTCTAATATATATTGTCTTTTTGCAGTGTTTCATAACAGGCGCCTAGCGGTCGCCAAAGACCATCAGAAAACACAGTATTTTCTCTTGGTCATGGGGTTCTGTATGGGAAGATTGGCCCAATTCCATCCTTGGTGGGGTTCAGAATGCTCCTTGATTATAGGTGAACTATAAATCCCAGCAACTACAACTCCCAAATGACA